GTATTTCTAATTTGTATTTCAAAGAACAATGCCCACTGCCCATACATTCGAAAACCTGTCACTTCGGTTTTTTCTTTATGGATGTATATTGACTGTTGAGGTTGTTAACTAATTATTACAATCTTCTGAAATAATGTTGCTAATTTGGTTTGATTTGGCAATGAGGAATAGAAGTTATAACGAAAACTAATTCTGAGGTTATTCAACTGCTGAAGATGTCATTTACTTACTCTGTGATTATAGATTATCTAATGCCGGAACTTCACTTGGCTATTTGTAAACTTGACAACAGTCTGTCCTTATCATGTTTTAAGAAAAGAAAAGGACAGACTGAAGTCAAGTTTACATGAATAGCCAAGTGAAGTGCCAGCATAAGATTATTCATTTGTGTGCTGTCACAGCTGTGGTGTCTTAGCCCAGCTAGGTATTTATTTCAATTCGCTTGTTTTGTTTGATTGAAGCTTGATCTGAGGATTGAAGAAAAATGGATTAATATCATAACATGTATCATGCTGAGGTGTCATCCTTATAATATTGTCTTTGGAATTAAACAAGTTTTTTTTTATATTTAATCAATAATTCAGTTTCAATTATTTTATTGAAATAGTAGGTACTTAATGTCTTAGTTTCTGCAAGCGACTGAATAAATGATAATCTTGACCTTTACCTAATTATATCTATAGACATCTAAGACATTTAACTATGTATTATTTAAATCTCTGGTAGACAAGTATATAAGTAGGTAATAATCTAAAATAAAATTACAATACCTTCCATTAATTGAGATGATTGGTACTATGAGCAGCTGTCATTATTGCTGACATTTTTTCGGAACGAATTTCCTTCTCATGTAGTCAGCCGAAGAGATGATGGAGTCCTAACTATTTCGGTCATGTTTCACTAAGAAAATGGCCAGTCTTTGTTAAGAACGGAAAGAAACTTTAAATTAAAGCCATGCCTTTTAAGTATTACATTACCATTTAAATACGGTATTTACCGCATGGCTGGCAACATTGGAAAGGAGAGTGCGAATCTACATTTAAGCTGCGTTCATAATTATGTCATTTTACTTTGATACAATACTCTTCCCTAATGGATGCGTTCGTGTGATAGCAAAAAATGTACCTACATAATGGTTATTTTCAAAAATTATTTTTGAAAAAACTGGATTGTAGTTTTTGTTGATATTTTGATTTCGTAATAAGCGAATAATTACCTTTTTTTTGAGGTATGTCACATAATTATACATGCAAAATTTTTTTACAGATTTGACAGGTCACAAATGGGCATCCTTCTTTATGTGTTGTGTTTCTGTCGGTCTGCCCTAGGCAACGGCGCGTGTGTAATTTTTGATATCACAAGCCTCTATAGGCTATGGTGCCGTTTACCATCAAGACTATAACCACGGCGAGTGTTCTGAGCAGTTATTCTCCTTTATTTCTCCTCCATCACCTTTTCTTCAGAGGACCACCCGGGCTGGCCTACGTTGCCACCGACTTACTGTGACCACTATTCCTACACGAACAAAGAAATTTGGTGACTCATTTCTTTGTCGTACTATTCGTAAGTGGAATTCTTTACCCGCGCAAGTGTTCCCTCCTTCTTATAATCTGGGGTCCCTTAAGAGAGGCGTGAAGAAGCATTTTTGCAGGCCGGCAAGGTGAGAATGATTGGTGTAGCAGTTTATAACTGCTGTACCAGCTATCTTCGCGTTTGCACTTTATTACCACTTAACATCAGGTGGGGTAGAGTCATTTGCCTACCTCTATATATATTAAAAAAAAACAAGTGGGCCATATGCTTATTTGCAAACCTTTTAACATAAAAAAACTATATCTTAAACAGTGTTATGTTCTTGCAATAAGGTTTCTGAGCTGCACGGTGAAGGGGCAACGTAGGTAACGAAAAAGATACCTAGTATATCTTCCTAATTTCATATCAAATTTCTATAAAGCTAAGGTAGCCGATGCCCGTAATCCTACTGGTAGTTCCACAGGCATTTAATTTTGTCCGTAGTTCCACCAGAAGGATATTTGGCATGAAGTTTACCAAGTCCAACTATACTAATTCATGCCATAAGCTTGTTTGCCACATAATTACCATTAAAAAAAACAAGACTAGAATGCAAATAAACAGCCAAAGACCCATTCACACGTAAGTAGAGATGAATAGACTGAGCCGAGTCTATTTCCATGTCATTATACTCCGCTCGTGGAGGCATATTAATATTGTACTGCGGTCAAAAGTTAATCGGGTTTAAGTCGTTCGCATCGCCCACGAAGATCCATCACAGTCGTCATTATTCACACACGAATTATGTAATTTCAATAAATGGGGCTTATTGAATAGTGATGAACGTCGGTAGGCTGCGCTGGGACCCCCGTAGAGAACCAACGTACCTATAAATAGCAATCCTATGACCAAACAACGCTTTGGACTGAATCCATTACTTCTTCGCTACTGACATCTGAACTATAAATCAACAGGAACGACCAATGTGAATCGTATAGGAGCATAATAGTCTTGTCGGAAGAATCACATGGTAGATAACTCTCCCAATAAGCCTTCGATCGCAGCAATAAGCACTTAGATCCTCATTGTCTAAAATAAATGTATTTTGTTTGGATAAATCGAGCGGGTGCCAACAGAGGTCGCGACGAGTGTTAATGAATCTTTTCTTAATGAGGTTCCACATATATAGGTGCAATTTTAGAGGCATGTTTTGATTAAAATGCCTAGGTATTACCTTCGTGCCTCATCCTCGTATATACAGTAAAGAGAAAAGAAAATATTAAAATAACTTTTTATAAAGTTTCTAAAGAAACATTTTCTAGAAAAATTCTACTCGATTTCAGTCGGTAATCAAACCCGCATCTTCCGCTTCTAGCAGTTAAATGCCCCGACAAGGAACCCTAATAGTTTCGTCAAGTCCGTCTGTCTGTCCGTCCCCGGTTTCGTTTGGAGACTTAGCACTAGAGAGCTGTAATTTTGTGGCGATATGTATATCAATCACGCCGACAAAATGATAGAATAAAATAAAAATAAAAGTTTTTTAGAGTATCTCCCCTACATGTAATCTGGTGATGTTTTTTTTGATCGTCTACCATATCTTGTGGGGTATCGTTGAATACGTCCTTTAAAATTACTTAGTGGTTTCTAAGACTATTTTTCGATTAAGGACTCAATTTGCGAATATTCAACTTTAAAGTGCTAATTTTTGTTTGAGTAGGGCGTCCCCTCCTTCTAAAAGCTAAACTATTAGCTTGAAATACCTGTAAAAAATCACGATAATAGTGCTTTTAATGAACTTTTAAGTAAAAGTATAAATAAGTTTAAGAGTAATAGTCGTTCAACTGCGGTTAAAGAAAATTTCTTAACTACTGAAAATTCCTTAGAAGGAAACATTAATAGTGACATAGATAGGGAACTACGCAACCTTACACTGCGCATGGCACGACACGCACTTGGCCGGTTTTTTATAGATAAAAAAAAAGGAATTAATGTTGTTATTAAATTTATTTTTATGCAAATGGCAGGACTTAGCTGATTTTTTTACTCGAATAGGTGCGCCCATCAGGATAAGTAGTTTTCACCTTATGCTACAGTAATATAATAGTACCAGTGTTGGCTTGTTGCTGTTGAAGTAAGATTCCAGGACTCAACGGGGTTAGGGATGGGGTTAAGGTAAGGCAACGTGAGGGTAAAAATATGAAAAAAAATAATAAATTTCATTTTTTTTCGGTTAACATGTCGTTATTACTTATCGAAGAAGTTCTACGACATCTTCAGTTGGATCTCAATATTAAAAGTTATTTCTAAAAAGTGTTGAGGTTGACTACAAATTATAACCTATCACCTAAAAGTGTACAAAGACTTTTTCGATGTAGTTACGCAGCGAAGGCAGTAATTTATCTTACTACTCAGGAACGAGTACAATAATAGAGCGTCAAGCGAGCTCCCCACACGTCTATAATTGATTTATAGGCAAATATTAAATCTGTTCTCACCGGGCCTCTCATGAGTAATGACCGTGCCCAATATTGTTTGAGGTTTTGTTTTTCACCCATTTATCCGTGTAACGTGCGCTCGCGCTGTTTGACTGACAGACTATGTTTCCTCCACAAATAATTCACTCGATTGGAACCTCACAACCTAAGTCCCACTTAATGGTCATTACCAAGTTTTTATCCAAAAATATTTTCATCGGCTCAGCTCCTTATCAATCACCCCGTAAGCCCGATGTTAATGTCAACAAAACGTCCGAGATGAGCAGCATCACACTTATCAAAACAATACAAAACGCAGGATGTTATCGATAATGATCGCGGCCACGACAACCCTCTAACTCCATTTTTTGTGGGTTGACATCGCGCTAATAATACTCATGAGAAAAATGCGCGCCGGACCCCCGTCATTCTCCTTTTGTTTTTAATTTCTACCTCAGTGGCACCGATTTAATTGGGCTCAACTCGAGCGAGCGCACCTTCGTATTTCACCTCGGCTCGCTTCATTTGAATATTTAAAGCATTTCGGGTCTCCGTCGCATTATTTTGTTTATTTACACAATATTTATATATTTATTTCAGAGGCAGCGTCATTTATTTGGTGACGTGACTTACCGATGTCGCGTCCTTCCCAGTATCGACATAGTTAACGCGGTAAATTCTCTCGCGTTCCATTTAAAAGTTTGGAGTTCTTTCTTTGGTTTGTCTTTTTGTCGAGTCGCGTTGCTGCCGCGTGTGGCGAGTTCTGGTCTTCGTTGTTTTCTGGCCAGCTCTTATCTTCGACAAGATTGCTCGTTTTTAAATGAAGTTATATCGCCTCGATTGAACACCGGGCCACGGAGGCGAGACGAATTTTTAATTAGTTTCCGAAGATAGAGAATTTTAAAGGAGGAATGCGCGAAGGAGACGGCGTTGAGTGTGCGCGGATTTCTTAATTGAGACGTGGACGCCGCGTCGCAGTCGCGGGCATCGTGAGGCGATTTGTTAAAACCCGAGAGATTAATTATGAATTAAAGACTTAAATCGACATCCGTGCAACGGCGCACGCTGGCTGTGTAACCTGGTATTTGCTAATGAAGAGAATTAATGGAAGCTATTTTTCGTAATGTCATATTGAAAGATCGCGTGCTTCCAAACGAAAGTGCACTGTCTTGTTGTTCACACTCCACCTTTTATAAACATGTCGATGATAAGAACAAAACTGATAGAATACGTCATTTTTATTAAGCAAACATTAATCAAGAAAGCCTGTAAATTGAAAAATATTTTTGCAATTACTCCGCAGGAACAAGAGCCACCACGTTGAATCCAATGTTGTCTGGTTCACGTTCTATAAACTGACGACACACTTTAGCCGCATCGTCCAGGAGATGCTCAGGTGTCGTATGGCCGTGGTTAACTGGAAGCATCTTGCGGCCGTCGAGTTCAAGCAGGTTCCCGTCTTTGTGGACGAATGTGACGAAGTGATTGTTAGGTATCTCGCTAGTATTGTCAACCTCAGTTGCCTCATGGTTAACTAAATCTTTATACGCTTCAAGGATAGCTACGGAGTTCTCCAATAAAGCTCCTTTGGCTGCAGCATCTAAACCTTCAGCATCCTTCAGATAAGTCTTCAGAAGGCCGTCGTTTATTTCGATTTCTTCGGCATTGTTTGCGACGCTATGCACCAAAGCAATGGTACCGCATATATTGCTGAGTACTTGCTTCATGTGGAATACGTCTTTGGGAGCTTGAGATCCCTTCGTTTTGAGATCTTTCTCTTGCTCGCGTCTGTGCTGCTCATACGCGTCGGATAGTGGGAACAGGAGAATGACGGCCAGGACAGGCCGGGGCACCCAGGACAGCGCCTCATCCTCTAGGCCGATGACGTCCACCATTCTCCACTTTTCAGACACACCCAATCGGGCCAGATATTTGTTCATAACTTCCGGGTTAGATTCCATCGGCAATGCAGTAGCCATTGTTAGTTATTTCGATAAACTTATTTATTAGAATCAATTTTTATTTTTTTCGTTATTCGTCGATTTCTGTCAATGTCACAAGTTGCCTCTCTATCTTGTCTTGAAGCTTGAAGTTTTCTATCGTTTATTTTGTAATTCTATAATCGATTCTACGCATAGACATAAAACGAGAAGTTCAAAAAGTACTTATTACAATACTTCCTCAATCAATTCTCAATACATCATACTTATGAACTTATTTGTTTTGTTGTTTGCTGCAATTCAAGTGAGCTTTAATTTAACTGTAGGCAGGTACCTATCTGTAGGTATTCAGTATTCACTCCAATCATATACACTGCAACGCATCACGCAGCGTAGCGCGGGAGTGCGTGTTCTTATGTTGCTTGCAAGTCCTCTCTTTCTTCAACAGCTAGCGCTCTAGTCATACGTCCGGACAGATTCATAATGCATGAATGTGTGTTTTGGTGAAGTTACATAAGTACCTACGAGCGGCAATGACGTTAAATATATAGACAGGTAATACGCCAACATTATTGCATATTAAAATGGCACAAGTAGTCCCTAGCCCACTTTCCTCGGCAACAGCCGCAAATAGAGCGCACTAAAGTCTCTTCACTCTCACTCATGCATAAAGCAGATTACATCTCGCTCTTTAGCCTCAACGTGTCAACGGTGTCCGCAAATGTCAAAATAAGTAATCATTTAAAATTTTTACATTAATTTCTTTAAAACTGTACTTAAAATTAAAATAACACGTTATTCTTGTGTCTAATACTTCCCGTGTAATTTGTGGTATATCTAAAAACACACATAGGGTTTCTTGCCTGGAAAAACGAAAATATTTACACGTTGTAGCGAAGTGTAACGGCACCGAGAGAGCGTGCCCGACTGAATGCAAGCCGGGCAATTACCTGACTTGCGTATTGCCAAATTAGAAGATTTTATGACGTATCTATAACTAACACTTTAAGACGAGCGGTCATTGCATTCGAACCATTACGTTGAATAGCTGTGTGGTTGAATTCAAGCCCCAACCCGTCTATTGTGTTCGCAGTGACTACTGTGGCTATATCATTTGCACACATTAATACTTCTGCATTTCTTATTGCAGCAAGAAAATTATTCAATAGGAGCGTAAATTAGTATACCTATTAGAAACTGCTAAAACCCTATAAGAGTATTTGGACAGTTCGAACTTACTACCCCGGCATCACCCACAACCACAGAACACAGAAACCTCTTTCTATGTCCTGTGCCCAAACCCACCTGAGATCTCACCCTCATCATCTGAAAGAGCAATTCAATTGCAGAGTCGAATTGCATATTCCGCTGTGAGTGAGTTTACTACACAATACACACACATTTGTCGTTACATCAGATAAAAGAAACCCGCTGACTAAAAAATAAAAATAATGGAATTAAAATTGAACTTTAAGCAATGATCAAATACAAAATCCAATAGAAATCTATACCCCAAGCACGAACAACTAGCGAGAAAGAATTCGAATCGCCATCGTCAAAGTTTCTATGGTAGCAGTTACTTTGTTCTTACGTCCGGTAACGGCGCTGGCTGCTTTTTTGTTTTTTTTACAGATAGGTCCGACAAATGACTCCACCCCACCTGATGTTCAGTGAAGGTGAAGTCCGGACGCGAAGATAGCTGATACAGCAGTTCTACCTGCCACACCAGCCATGAGGGTGAGGACCCTGCCAACCTGCATGTTGTAGTTGCCATAGAAACTTTTGACGATGTCGATACGAATACGGATCAGTCAAAGTTCGTGGCGATACGAATACGATTCTGTCCAAGTATAAGTCCCGGCACGAAACTAGCGCTTACCGTTATTGCGCAGAAGTAAAAATTAAGATGTCTTGGGGGAAAACGAGGTGCGCGGGTGGGCATGCGTTGCGCCGATTGGTTCTCCAGTCGTACCGATGCGCGGCTATCCCCTCCACGTTTTGTTCAGCGCTAAAGTCACATGCGACCTGTAAGTTCTTCGGGGTACTGGTTGAAATAGGATAATTTTGGAGTTTAGTTTGGAATTTAATAGACACATATCTACCTAGTTATAAGTATCCTACATACGATAAGCTCCTTTTCCTTAAAACCAAATAATTATGTACTTATTAAAGATGATATTTTATAAATAAAACTTACATTTAACTACTTACTTTAATAATATTAATGCTAGCTATATAGTCTGATGTGAATAACAAGGCAAGTGTGAATAAGTGGGCAAGGAAACGCAGGTGGCCATTTAATGCAGATAAGTTAGCAAGTAGTCTGGAAACATTTTTAATAATTTCAATAAACTTTTACAATTTAATATGACGCAATTAATGTGAATTGCACCGGAGCATGTTCGCTGTCTTTTTTTATAGCATGATCCTTTGTAAAGGGTCCATGAATAATAAGAATACATGTTGTTAGAATAAAAGTCTAAGCGCGCGACAGCAAATTTTTTTTGGAATTACTTCTAGTAAAAAAATCCTTAGATTTAAACATTTAGCAGTTAAATGCTGAAAAAAAAAATAACAATTTATTTTTATAAAATTTTAAATAGGAAATGTTTGCTAAGTTTGGTTTTCTTTATTAACATTAATGGAACAAATGCAATAAAAAAAAACTAGTTACACAAAATCAATTTCCACCTAGCCCTCTCAACCTGTAGCACTCATATCTCTGATTTTATGCATAAGGACGCCTGTGCGCAAGCACTGCCCAGCAGTGTAAATAACTATCCGGCCGAATGCACTGACCATTAAGCTACCGCGGCCCTGATGGCCGTGTCGAATTTTTTCTAGCCTTTTTTAAACTGCAGGGCAGCGCCATCTCTTCGCATATATAGATAACCCACAATGTCAAATGAATAATAAACCATTACAAGAATTAAACATTTCATAGAAGATGAATAGCATTTATAGTTATAATTTTTGTAAGCATTTAACTGCTCGATGTATGTAATGTATGGGCTCGATGTATGGGATGATGTATCGAGCAGTTACATGCTTAAAAATAAAAATTATAACTACCTATAAATGTTGGTTATTTATCAACCGATTTTGCCTATTATCCATCATTATCGTCAGCTTGTTGAAATCCGGTCCAGCAGTGCTATTCTGTAGACGGATCCATAGTGGATGTAATTTTTTGTGAGTCTTTACAGAATAGCACAGCTGGCCTTCTCTATGACTGAAATGGAGATAACAAGCCACGCGGGCCCAGTGCAAATTGATGCATGCTAACGGCGCTTGTTAACGAGAGGATTTCTACCCGGGTCTAAATACGGTTTTTAACCGTGTCCAGTCTATTAAGTAGTAATAGTAGTAGCTAATCTAGCGACGGTTTGAGGTCAGTACAAAGGTACAAACCGTGGTCGTGAACAAGCTTAGCCAGCACCAGCCCTGCTATAAACCGCCTCGTTAACAAGCGCTCTAACGATTACAGATGCAGCCAAGGCCCAACGGTTTAACATAGGTACATATGTACTTTCCGAAATACGGAAGAGCCACACACCGAAAAATGCCACAGCGCCATCGACCTCCTCAGAGGTAGTGTTATAACTACAATGATAATTATAATTACTTATTAACAGATTACTCACTAACAAAGCCATTAAAAAAAAAATCGAGCTAGCCTTACAGGGGTCGCGTATACTGTGTAACATTTGAAACCTTACCTAAATAAAACCTACTACAAAAGGAATAAGCCATTTGAACATTATGTTCTAAAATCAAATCAAAGAGCGCGCGCTTCCCAAACTTCCTGTTACACACTTCCGTCCCACTTCACGTAATCACTCCCACAAATTGCAGGAAAGCGAGAAGAAAGATGTTACACATCAAAAACAAAACTTATCAGGATCCTGGCCTAGGTAGGTGCTTATGGCATAACTTGATATTTTGTACGCAACAATGGAACATGAATTTAGGTGATGGTGCAGTTCTATTTAACGTTTTTATGAGTCCAATGCGTTGCATCACACTGTGGGTCACTCACAACCGACAACAGCCGAGCTCCTTCATTAAGGTGTCGAATTTTGTCAAACTCTTCACCATCCATTAAGGGCAGCGGTGGGTGGGGCTATCGAAACTGTCGGTTTAATGCAGAGGAACGAATAGTTTGAAGATATTCAATGGTATCAATTAATTTAGCCACGTATTTGCATTTTTTATTTTGTACTATCAAAGCTAGCTTATTTAAATTGAAACGTTCCAGAGCTAAAAAATATTTTATTGCATTAATTGCTTAGTTAGAATTTAATTAAAATTTAATGTACTTCATTATTTAGAGAAGTGATAAATCTACTTAATCACATTCTCAGGCCTTACTAAGAGCTCTTAACACGATCCAAAACCAGCGGTGCGAGCGGGAAGGCATAATTACTGCGTATGGTTTCATTTCACTTTAACAATCGCAATTGCGACGCGTTGTGTAGTTCATGGTACGGCCCGCGCTCCTTATAACTTAATCAAGAGGTAACACTCAGATTGATGAGTGGTCGTTAGTGGCAAATGCTTTTTGCTTAGTAGCTAACCGTGTCGTTATCCAGATGTAATTTTAACCGTATTACTTACTGATAATATTTATTTTGCGCAGTTGTTGCGTGTACAACCGCGCAAAATAAATATTATCGTACATATTATAAATATACTCGTGTTTCTCGGAGTTCACTTAACATGCATGAAATATATTTGAAATAAGCAAAAAACAATCTGAAAGTGTTAAGTACTTTTAGTTCACGAAATAATAAATAGGTCCATTTTAAAATTAAATTTAGTTTTCAGTTTTTTATCCCCAAGAGGCACTAGAACTCAAGCGATTATGGACCTACCTATAGTCTTCCATTACAAGTTGTGATGGATTTGAACCAATATGATAGATTTGAATGCTTTATGTAGTAAATAAGACAAGTTATTCGATACGAAAAAAACGATCAATAGTATAAATTCAATCAATAAAAATATACTTTGGACCTTAATAATTATGTCACCGGATCTGGAAACATTTACGTGAGAAATGATGGTTTGGATATCTTCAGACTGATCGAGTCTCCGTAGCTCATCTGAGGTCCGTCTGCTAGGGGGCGTGGCGCTTGTCCGCGCTGACTACCTTCAATTACGGACTAAGAGCGTTCATTATTTAGAAATTCATTCGGTAAATACAATAATCGATTCTCATGACAACCGCCGCCGTCGGCGCGCGAGTTGCGGTCCCATGACTTTCGTTTTCAATGAGTTT